CGGACTCTCTTAAGAGGTGAAATATTTCAGTACTTTAATCTGCAATACGTGGCTTATGGAAGGACCAAAACACCAAATATTTCCACAATCATGCTGGAATGGTGAGTGGTGCTACGAAAACAATACCCTTCGAGTCGAAGCCTCCAAATTTTATGAAAATCTTTATCAAGACGATAGTGGAAATATGGACATCTTTCCTATTAAAATGGCCTTTCCTCGCTTACTTAACGATGATCTCTGAAACCTCAATACCAATGTCACTAAGGCAAAAATCAAAAAAGATCTTTTCGATATATATGAGCCCGATAAAGTCTTCGGGGGTTGATGTCCTTCATGCCCCCTTCTTCCAAAATTAATGGGACACTATTAGGGACTCAATTTGTGATTGGATCAAAGATATCTTCGATGGCAATCCTTTAGATCCTGAGCTTAACAAAACGCTCTTCGTCTTCATTCCAAAGGTGAATAATTCTGAAACTTTTGTTGAGTTTTGTCTGATAAGTTTATGTACCTTGCTTTACAAGTTGGTGATGAAGTTTATTTGCCAACTGATTCAAACACATATTCCAAAAGTTCATTGCTTAAAATAAGCCAATTTCATAGAGGGGCGCAACATTACTGATAACATTCTCATTGTCTAGGAAATTGTTCACTCAATGAAGAAGAAATGCAACAAAAGTCAATGAATGATCGTGAAATTGGATCTCGAAAAGGCGTATGATTATGTGGATTGAGACTTTCTTTTCGACTCTCTTATAGACATGGGGTGTCCTGATTATATTCATAGGATCATTATGAACTCGGTCTCCTCTTCCACTATCTAAATCCTCTAAAATGGTTCAATTTCTGATGAATTTAAACCTACGAGAGGTATTCGGCAAGGTTGCCCTCTCTCGCCCTACCTATTCATTCTATATATGGAGAGACTTGGTCATAGTATCCAATACACCTTAGTTATCGATTTTTGTAAGCCCATGGTCCTCTCTCGTGGTGACCCTCCTCTCACCCATTTGTTCTTTACTGATGACATGTTTCTACTTGATAGAGCCAACCCGACTAAGCCAATTTCTTAAGGGTCATTCTTGATCAGTTGAGCCGCTTCTCAAGGTATAGGGTTAGTTCGAATAAAACCAAGGTCTTCATCTTAGAGAATGTGGTCGAAGAAGATGTACTTTCGATTTTAACTCCTCGGGTTTCCAGAGAACTAACGATTTGGGCAAGTATCTGGGTATGCCCCTCTTCACAAGCGAGTGGCTAAAAACACTTTCTAGCTTCTTGTTGATAAAAATGAATGTAAATTGAATGGGTGCATGGCAACCAAACTTTCCATTATCGGCCGGTGACCCTCGTCAAAGTCTCGTTGCCTGTTATGCCTAATTATTTCATGTAAACGATCGAGATCCTTAAGGGTGTTTGCGACAAAATTAAGCAAATCGCTCATCGTTTCATATGGGGAGGTACGATTGTGAACCCGTAACATGCCCTTGTGAACCGGAAAACATACTACCAACCTCCCAACAATGGAAGGCTCGGTATTCGCCTTCTCTGATCCAAAATGAGGCATTCTTAATTAAGTTAAGCTATAATTTGTTGATACATATGGATGATCTCTTTGTGAAAGTGCTTTGTTCGAATTACAAAGTTATAGATCGGATGCCCGATCACCTTGTCACCAATCGCTGTTTTTTCGTTTGGAGGTCGCTTTCCCGGGTTTGGGAGTTTATCCATGATAATACATGTTGTTCATTAGGTGATGGCAGACACACTAAATTTTGGACAGACGCATGGATACTGAAAACTAAACCCCTTCTCGATCTGATTCTCGCCCAAAGCATCTGATACTCAGGCGGTTATCCAAGACTATGTCATCGGCGAGAGCAAGTGGGTTATCCAATAGCTCGAACACCCTCGACGATGATATATTTTAGCTAATCACCGCTATCCCGCCCCCTGTGATGATATTGATGAAGACCTCCCGCCTGGCGTGGAATACTAATGTCACCTACACGATGGGGTTTTGATTTCCCTCAACGAATTAAGCTATTCCTTTGGTTTGTCCTCTAGAGAAGGTTTGATGACAAATCTTGAGAGAAGTATAGAGGCCTTTGTCGAAACGAATTTTTTCTTGAAAAAACAAATTCAATTTTTTAAAATGTGATTTTTAAAAATCTCGTCTCGAATAACTTTGTAAAAATGCATAAGGACATGAATATCGAATTAAAATAAAAAATAGATGGGTGACCATCTTGTAAAAATGCGGATAACCTTTGGGAACCTAAAAGTAAATAAACCAAATATTAATACTGAGAAAAAAGGAAAAATGTCGAAATCAGGATAAAAATCGAAATTAATTAACAAATTGATCACAAAACAAGTGACCAAATTGAACACGGGAGAAAATAGCGATGGTTGCCCGCGTGATTAGACCACCGGGTCCAAAACGCATGAGATTGAGGTAAAACGACGTCATCTAAATTGGGTTATAAAACCCATTTTCCTTTCTTTTTCTTCATTTTTTTCTTCATCACTCTCTCTCCTCCCATAATTTGCTCTCACTTCTCTCTAGCAACCGGGGACGAGCACCGCCGCCACTCGTCACCGACCGTCTTTTCGTTCATCACCGGTCGTCGTACCGCCGTCGTCATCTGTGGTTAATCGAGCCCAAAACTTCATGGATGGCTCTCCTTGACACGGTGGTCACATATACGGGCTTAGTTTTGTGAAAAATGGCCCTCAATGCCACGAAATAGGCCGAGAACCCGAAGGAGCTGTTGTCCCTTCAGTTGACCATTTGGATCTGTCGTCCGGCCACAGGAGCTGCTGTTGTCGAAAACCCGAAGGTAAGCTCTCTTTTTTAGTTTGGTTTTCCTCCGCCCAAATCCTCGTTTTAATCTATCTCTAGTTTCCCCTCCTCCATTTTCTTTTTCTTTTTGAACCCGGTTTCTCCCCTTGTTCGGTTATCTCTTTGGATTTGCTCTTTTTTTCTATTTTTTTCATTTTTTGTTATGGTTACTTCCTCTTTATTTTTTTCCCGGATCTACTTTCCTCTTTTTTCTTTCTTTCCCCCTCTTTCGATTGGTTCTGCTCCCCTCTTTATCTTCTCTTTCCTTCTCCTGATTGATGGGTTTGGTGAGGCAAAGATGACAGAGGTATAAGGCTCTGGATTTTTAGGGGGTTGAGTTTAATTTTTTTATTAAATTTGATTGATTGATTTTTTATTTGATTTTTTTTCTTTTTTAGTTTTGTGAAATAGGGAATTCAATCATCCTGAGGTAACTGATGGAGTGACTTCTCGGCGGTGGGCTGCTACAATAATGGTAGCATAGGGTTAGGGTTAACTATGTTATGGTTTAAGTTGGGTTTGTAATTTGGTTTGGGCCCGGGCTACTGGGTTAGTTTTAGTTGGGACGATTCTTGGGCTTGTTTCCTTGTAATGGGTTGTGTAAATATATATATATATATATATATATATATATATATATATATATATATATATATATATGATAAAAACAAATAACATGTCATAATGATATAATTTTTCTTATTAAAAAATTAAAAAACAAAAAAAAAAGATAATCGACGGATGACAATCAACATTAAAATTAGTGTCGACGTTGATTAAATAAAATTAAATAAAAAAAATCTGGGTTGATTAATAAAAAAAAGAGAGAGGGGAGGAGAAGGATTTGTATTGGGCACATATTTTTTATTAAATTATTTAATTAATAAAACTAATAAAATCAATCACTTTTTGGTGCTAAATAAATGTTTGATAAGTTAACATTTAACTTTTTTTTAAAAACGTGTTTGATATTTATAATATTTTTTATTTAATAGAAACTTTTCAACAAAAAGTGTAGAATAAATCAAATAGGTACTTACCATTTAAACCTTAAAACTGGGCATTATTACAATGTGAGATTTTAATGGAAGAGTTTGACCGCAACTAGGATTCTGTGGATAAGAATAGTTTCTATTTCGGACGAATTATCTAAGGTAGAGTTTGGATTCCCAAGGAAGAGTTCTCCTTTTTGAAAACTCTTGAGGAAGTGTCTCGTCTGCATTGGAGCCAACAAAGTTGGTCCGAGTCAATTCATTTCATTAATGCACGTTCTTCTACCTCCTACACGCCAAACATGCAAAACACAAGAGGAAAATAATGTTATTAAAAAAATGGGTAAAAGCAAAAGATTTACGAAAGAAACAAGACAACACCACAAAATCGAATCACGATGATTATTACGCTCGTTTAATTACAAGTATAGTTGCTCTCCTTAAATTATGTAAAAAATAATAAATTGTTTTTTCAAATGTATATAACTTAATTTAAATATACTTTTTTAGGAAATAAAAATAAAACCAACTTATTCAAACATCAAGTGATTACCTATCAATATAGTTTATCCACTTTTTATAACTCCTACACGTCTTTCTTACCTTCCGACGAATGAGAAAATGCTGGCTCTCAGATCAAATTGATGACCGGGAAATTCATCTTTTACTTCTTTAATTTATTTACAAATTAATTCATGTTCAGGTAAATTTTTGGGGTTTTTTTAGACAGGCGGTATTTTGACTGGTTATTAAAATTTAAGTTGATTTTTTTTTTGAATTTTGGGTGTTCGATAATTTAAGAATAGATATTTTATTATTAAACTAATTATAATTTTAATTTTTATTATACATTTGTATCTTGTCAAAAACTTAGTAAATTTATAATTTAGTTTAGAAATATATGACATGTTAACATTTTAATTCATATGAACCTGTCACGTTAAGAGTGTCACTTCAATTTAGTTTAGAAATGTATGATCTAAAATCTCTTAATTTTTTAATCATACATACTCGAATATTTTACGTCGCTGTGCTCGAACTCGAGACCTTTAAAATAACAATCATTTATATAACCATATAATTCATTCCACACGTAACTTTTTGAAGTCTCTATATATACTTGTTAGTATATTATCACCACATAGTTCTCCAAATTAATCATTTACCTCAATTAAACACTTAAACAATGTCATCTACCTCTTCTTTATATCCTTCACTACCATTGGAGCCGCCAGTGAAACCAATTCCAGGTGACTATGGCCATCCCCTATTCGGTCCAATTCACGATCGTTTAGCATACTTTTACTATGAAGGCAGGGACAAGTTCTTTGAGAACCGGATCCAAAAATACCAATCCACAATCTTCAGAACTAATATGCCTCCTGGCCCGTTTATTTCCTCTTGCCCTCGAGTTGTTTGTCTTCTCGACGCTATCTCCTTCCCCATCCTTTTCGACACTTCGAAAGTCGAAAAACGCGATGTTCTCGATGGTACTTTCTTGCCTCCCTTGGCCTACACCGGCGGCCATCGTGTCTGTGCCTACCTCGACCCATCCGAGCCAAAACACAATGCTCTAAAATCCTTCATTTCTTCTACCCTCACAGCCCGTCATCATAAGTTCATACCACTCTTTGAAACTTGCTTATCGGAGCTTTTCAACGAGCTCGAAGCTAAAATTTCTGCCAAAAAAGAAGCTTATTTTAACACCCTGAGCGATGCCATGTCTTTCGACTACGTTTTTCGGTTGTTCTGCGACAAAAACCCTAGTGAAACGAAGATAGGTTCTAAAGGACCACAACATTTCGACAAATGGTTATTGTTTCAGCTTGCACCGATTGGATCACTAGGGTTGTTACCAAATTTTCTATGTTGGTTCGAAGACATTTGTTGCGTACATTTACTTTCCCATTTTTCCTCGTTAAATCTGATTATAAAAAGGTATACGATGCGTTTTATGAGTTCGGAAGCTCGGTCTTGGACGAAGCTGAAAATAAGTTCGGGATCGAAAGAGACGAAGCTTGCCACAACCTGGTTTTCGTTGCTGGTTTTAATGCTTACGGTGGCATGAAAGTCCTCTTCCCGGGGCTGATCAAGTGGGTTGCATTGGCGGGACCGAAGTTACACAAGCAATTAGCCGATGAAATCAGGGCCGTCGTCAAAGCCGGACGCGGTGGGGTCACGTTATCTACCTTGAACAAGATGGTTTTGACCAAATCTGTGGTCTATGAATACCTAAGGATCGATCCTCCGGTTCCATTCCAATACGGCAAAGCTAAGGCTGATTTGGTGGTTCGAAGCCACGATGCAACCTTTGAGATCAAGAAAGGCGAGATGTTATTCGGGTATCAGCCGTTTGCCACTAAAGATCCCAAGGTTTTCCAGAACCCCGAGGAGTTTGTGGCGGATAGATTCGTTGGGGAAGAAGGAGAGAAGCTTTTGAAGTATGTGTACTGGTCGAATGGGCGTCAGACGAAGGAGTCTACGGCGGAGAACAAGCAATGCGCTGGGAAAGATCTGGTGGTGCTCTTGTGTAGGTTAATGTTGGTGGAGCTTTTCCTTCGTTATGATACGTTCGAGGTCGAGGTCGGAACGTTTGTGTTCGCTCCGACGGTGACGTTCAAGTCATTGATTAAAGCCTCATCAAGTACTTGACTGGCCATGCAAAATGGTACTAAAATTCGACATATGATTATCTTCTTCTGTTAATTTCTGAATTCTGCAGTGTTTATGCATGTCACTTACATTACATGTTCCTATTTGTACTATCTTGTTGCTAATAATAATACTTCTTTCTAAAATGAATCTTCATAAAATTTAGCCTTAATGATTATATAAAAATTGGATGATCTTTTGAACGAATACGACCAATTCAAAGTCAAACCAACATAATCAATAGTCGAAAGTTTGATCATACGATGAGAGAAGATGAACAGGCCCTTTTACTGTTTGTTGCTATGGTTCCGGTTGTGAGAGAAATTTATGGACATTTATCACAGGACCTCTATAGTTGTACCTAAGCAAACGGTGTTCCTTGGATCCATATACCAAATAGCTTGCACCTGTGACGACACCAGTCTCTAATGCTTCAACACTCCGTATCTTTTTTCCTTCATTTTAATTATTTCATGCAAAATCGTAGTACGGAGGACATGCAACTATCATTGATCTCTTGAGTTTCTTTCTCTGGTTTCTCCACTTCTATCATTGAGCTTTCTCGGTTGTTTTCTGTGGCTGAAAACCATTAGATGGAGAGAGGGGGATTTTGATGGGTTCGCTTTTGCATGGTTTTCTTAAAATGGGAATTGAAATTGTTGCGGGTGGTTTAATAGCAGGAGGAAGAAAAAGAAACACATGGATTTTTTTGTAATTTTAATTGTCAACTCAGATTTGTGTTAAAAGATTAATTTTTATTTTTTAATTATCAACTCAAGTTTGTATTAACAGATTAATAAAATTTAAGGATCAAGGGATCTAAATTGAACGGATCGATAATACGAGGGATTAAAATTATTTTTTGAAATGGTGACCAAAATCAATTAAACTAAAAAATAAGGGACCACTAATAAAATTTACCTTTTAAAATTTTTAAAACGGGAGACTGCTCTAACTGAATCTTCAATCCATCAATCCATCCATAGATGATGTCAAACATCACTTCTTTACTATTAGCACGATTTGTTTTTCCCTTTCATCCTGTTTTACAATATGGGTGCCTTTTGGGTACCATTATCTTCGGGGATATAATTATTTGTATTGTTGTGTTTTATTTGTTGAGTAGAAATGTAAGATTAAAATGTTTCGTTAAAATAATATAAAATTATTTAAATGTATATTTTATCAAATTGTTCTTATTATATATTTATTTTTTAAACAAGTTGAATTCTAAATATTCGAAAGTAAATATTTGTATAAAAGATCATAGAAAATATATAATTTTATTATTTTTAATTTATATATTTTTCTTTAAAAATTTTAAATTCATAAAATTCATATAATTTTTTTACAAAATTTAAAAGATAAATTAGTTTAATGAAATGGTTTAATTTTATTTTAACCCCTAAACTTCATATAAAATTCTAATTGTGGACTTTTTTTTGTAAATCTAAAATAGTTTAAGGATAAATTTACAATTTACCCTTCGTATAATTTTTTTTATTCAACGGTTAGAAGAATGATATTTTTGAAAAAATATTGTTTTAAAGGCATTTTAGTCCAAAGTCATGGGAAAAGATTAATACCTAAGGGATCGGAGGAAATGACATTCCCGATAATAAGCCTCCAAAAATGACACTGTTGGGAATGACTTATTACCCCTTATCGAAAATCTTTGCAATCCAAACATAGGTATCACATTCAGGAAAAAAATTTCCCCCGTTAATCTTCTTTTCCCTCATCCAAATGCACCCTATATGTATAATTTTGAAAATCGTTAAGGTCTCCATGAATATATATTATATATATATATATATATATATATATATATATATATATATATATATATATATATACTTCTATAAAATTGTTAATATTGCCGGAAATAAAATATGGTAAATTATGTATTTAATATATAAACTATCAATTTTAGTCTGTTTTAGTACCTAAAGTTTTAATTTTTTCAAAATCATACTTAAAGTTTAATTTTTGTTTCATTTTAGTATCATGTTCAAGCTTTTAATGTTAAGATCTAGGTTCATTGGAACTGATGCCTATTCATCCCTGCAGGCCCAAAATCAGGTAATACAAATCCAGTTTTGATGTCCCAAGTCAGTATTGCATTCCTGTAAATGTAGCCCAACTCAAATGATTCAATTTCTTTTTAGTGTTCTATTTTGTTTAGGTTCAATTTTATTAAATTCTATTCATTATAATCTTGATATTCAATTTTAAATTAATGTTTTCAATCATTATCTAAAATTTTCTATTCGTAATATACATATAAAATTTATCTAAATCTAAATTTTAATTTTTTTTTTTAAATTAAATCGAATGAAAGAAAATTGTCGCCTTAAGCCCAATCCTAGACTTGTATAAAAGAGCGCCTGTTTAAAAATTGAATATAATAATAAAGAGTTTTCTTGACACAGTTTAAGATTAATTGTCATTTTAAATAGAGTAATTTTTCTATATAAAAAAAGAAATGGATGCATAATAGGAACGGTAAATGTTTTATGCTTCATTATTTTCTTTGAACAATTAGTAAGCGTTAGAAATGATTAGTAAAAATCAAATTAGGGTGGAGATGAAGGAAAGTTTTGTTGTACGAGAGTCTAATTTATGGTTAAGGAACGACAAAAAAAAATGAGTGCAACTAAAAATATTATAAAAAGCATAACATTTTCGGTTGCGCCCAACCGAAAATAATATACTTTTTATAACATTTTAAATTGCATCCCTTCCCTAATATTCCTTTAAATTTATAAAATTTTAAAACTATGCATCCACAGTTGAAACATTTCAATTATAAAATGAAGTGTAAATTGACAATATCTACACGTCTCATTCTATCACCTTCCCAAATTGCATATGTTTCAATAATACAGTAATTATTGTAAAGTTATCAGCATGTTGCTGCCATTGACAATATGGACCGTTTTGTTTTCCATTCAATAAAAAATGTGCCAACATTCAATAAAATAGAGTGATGATTTGATGGTAACCACAGTATTGGTTGAACAGATTAATGTTCTCTATTTATTTTGGGTAAACTAACACTTTTATTTCATTTTTATTAATGTAGGGTCACTATGTTAAAAAAACTTAAGTCCTAGTCACTTTCATCTCGTTTTAATTAAGGTGTGGCCACTTACCCTAATCGATAATTAAAGGTTTAATGATTGGATGGCATGGTATGTTAATATAATAGTATAAATTTTGTTTTAACCCTTGAAATTTAGATAAAATTTAATTATGGACTCTTTTTTATGTAAATCTAAAGCAGTTTAGGGACAAGTTTATAATTTACCATTTCTTTATTATGTTTTTCTTCTAAATTCTCGCTTACCCCGCACAATATCTCCCCCTCCTCCAGCTATGGCAGTTGGAGAAAGTCATGGACTAGAGGATCACTATGCTGTGCATGCAGATGAATAGCACCAGCCATAGTCCCACTCCTCAAAGCTTTACACTTATCAACCAACACTGCCACTAATCTCATTTTCACCATTGGCTCAGCAGACCAACACTGCCATTAATCTCTTTTTCAACATTGGCTTAGTAAACCAAACCGACAATCTCCTCAATGACAAATAATTACCTGAACTTGCATTCTCCGAATCCAGTGGAATCGGATTCATTGACTGAGCCTCTAGAACGGCCCATTTGTTATTAACGCTGCCCGGACCATTTTTGGAAGCGAACTTGGTATAGAGATCAACGAAAGAAAGGGCTTCGGAAGAGTTACCATGATTGGCGAGACGGCGCTTGATGGATTCGGCGACGGCGTCGGCATCGGGGGAAACGAAAGGGGTTAAACGTCTGGATAGAATGCGGAAAGCGTAGCGAAGAGATTGAGACAAATGAGGAGAGTTAGCCGTTGGGTCTTCGGGGTTTTGTTGAGAGAGTAAGCGACGAACAAGCTCAATTACTAGATATGTTAATTTGCGTTGATGACGATGAGTCATTGCTTTCCCCAACTACCATAGCTGGAGGAGGAGGAGATGGGGTGTGTAAGGGGAAAATTAGAAGAAGAAAAAAGCGTATTAAAGAAATGGTAAATTGTAAAGTTGTCCCTAAACTGCTTTAGATTTACAAAAAAGTCCATAATTAAATTTTATCTAAAGTTCAAGGGTTAAAAAAAAAATTATATCATTTTATTAACGTGTCACGTCATCAAATCATTAAACTTTTAACGGCCATTTAGGTTAAGTGACCATATTTTAATTAAAACAAAACGAAAGTGACTACGAATTAAGTTTTTTGAATCGAATGAACATACATTTATAGAAATGAAACAAAAGTGACCAACTCGGTAGTTTACCCTTTTATTTTTTACTTTCAAACTAGTTACAATCAAAGCAGCAAAATTCTTAAGCATGGACCAAACTAAAAACCCTAAAATCTAAGAACATTTATTGGAAACAATAGTTGAGCTCAGAGTCTTGTGACATCATATGTTGCACAAGTGTGATCAATTGATTAGCCTCTTGCAAATTAAATAATAGTAATAATTCGTCTTATTTTCAAATCTATCGCCATCACTGAAAAATGTTGCATGCCGTTGATAAAAAGGTTTTTATCGATAATGAAATTGATAAGACTTGTTCGTTGGAATATCCAATCAAGTTGAATATGAAATCCACCGAGCACTATTAAAATGTATGGGGTGAAAAAAAATCAGTGTTAAATGATGTTACGCATTTGTTTTGATTATTTTTATTTGTTAATATTTTATTAGAACATATGATAATAATCTAATATTTTCAGAACTTTTTAATTCGTGTAAGTATTGATTCATATTAGAAACGATGTGCCACGTCACTTATGTATTCTTAAAATATTTTTTGAAGTATTTAATATATAAGTGGTGATGCGGTACATATAATATATTTTAAAGTAATTATATGTCATGTTTTACATATACATAAATAATGATATGATACATTCCATATATACATAAGTAATATGTGACACGTTTCATGTATTCATAATTAATAACATAACATAAATTATATTACTATTTTAACCACATAACTTATTGCATCATTAATAACCATTGATAGTTAGTTAGGTAACGATCTACACCCAAATGTGAAAAAAAATTTATCTCAAATAAATAATTACGAATCTAAAATACTTCAAAAAGTAAAAATTAAAACAATTATTTTATTAAAAAGTAGTAAATAATTTATATATCAGCGAAAAGTGAAAACGTACAATGAAATGAATCCCAATCTCATCCCTCCTTGATGATACGGACATCCACATCCGCAATGGTATAAAGTCAGATGAGGCCTAGTTCCTAGCCTGTCCTTGGGCTCTACCTGATGGTCCCTATCCTACACACAAACTTAGAAGAGCCAACGCATCGCTATTGTGATTCCGATGATTCCAACAATCGCGTGGGCGAATATGCGCGGTGATGCCGCGCTTCCCTCGAACGCACCTTCGTACACCATTGTGCTGTTGAATATTAGAGGTGAAGTCGTGGCTGCTCTTGTTTCCGTGTTCTGCCCTTGTGATGATTTCTGGCTGCAAATTTACGTACCAAAACTAACCGTTAAAAGCCCCAACAAAAATAACACTAACCTAACGGCAAAATATGTCGACAAAAGAAGCTAGCTGGCTCGGCACGAAAACTTGTAAAAAGTGAAAAGAGCCGACCGACATAAGATGATGGCAAATTACCGACTTCTCCAGCCACGTGAAAAGTTCACTCCAACGTATAATTTAACCCCTTTTTCCCCCCGACGGAAGGTTGTTTTCATGACGATGATTTCCTTTTTAAGACATTAACGTACGTTTGGAACTGCGAAAAGTTTAAAAAGTTTTACCTAGTGTTGGGCGAAGGACAGAAAGTAATCGTGTAATCAGCTTTAGCGCATGTGAAGGTACTGGTTTTATCATCATAGGCGTAACTGTAGGCGCGTGGGCAAGCTCTCTTAAACACCTCCGAGTACGAAGACGGCTTGCAGGTATCGGGTGTTCCATACGCGCCGCTACAACAGTACTGAGGCTGGCGGAAGGCCTCGCAAGCGCTCTTGCATGCGATGCTGCCTGCTCCGTTTTCTGTGTTCACCACCTTAAGCTCCGATGGACACGAGTCATTCAGATCCCCTACACAACCGGTGTAGGTACAGTTTTGCCCCGTGCCGCCGTGGGGAACCACCATCATAGGGATGTTGTAACCGTCGACCAAACTGATATCGAAGAAATCAAGACCATCGGCGCCGTCCAAAGTGAATTCGACCAAAGTGGCGGGCGGAGCAGCGCCGTTCCCCGAACATTCAAGCTTCCCGGAGCCACAATCGCCGGTAAGACATGAAAATTTACCGGAGGAATCTTGGGAACAATGGGTTCTTCCCCAAAAACGACCGCCCCATGAAGTCGGCGCGTTAATGGTTTTAGTTTCGCCTCTTTGGAGAGTAAAACCTGTCGTGGGGAGCGTCGGAACGCCGGCGTTCGAGAGAATTCCAGGCCAGACCACATAATCGCATTTGTTTACCATGGTAAAGGTCGTTCCTTTCACTCCTGTTCACAATGTAATCAAAAAAAGAAAAATGAAACCAAAATCTAATAGCTAAAGATAGAACTGATTGAACATTGCTCAATATTTTCCAAAATGAAAATACCTGGTAAAAAGGAATGTGACAGAACGAGAACACATACAGCGGCAACAAAAGTAATTTGAGCCATTAAAGTTAATATTTTGTAAGAAGAATCCTATTATACAACCAGAAAGAAGAAGAAGAGAAGTTGGGGTATGGGCAAAATTCCAACACTCGTCTCCTTCTTGTCAAGAAATGGGTGTTGGGGAAGTGTGAGATTCTTCAATGGAGATACATGGAATTTTATAAGGGAAATTGAGTTTTTCGGAAACTAACGTCCACGTGAGCCAAACTTGAAGTCGCTATGGTGTCTACTCGACCGGATTTTGAGACGAATTGCGGCGTTTGGTTGAGATTGTTTTAAGAGATCCAATTAAAGTCTTAAATATCTTTTTTGATTTTTTATGATTGTATTTATTTTATTGTTTATTTGGAAAAAATCATACATATCGTTCAAACAATATTATTGAAATTTAAATTATTTAAAATAACATATCATCCTATATACTAAAACTAATTTTCAAATTCAGATCCATTTGATTTTTTACTTTACTATTTGGTTGCATGTAAAATCTTGTGAATAATACAACATGGTCGATTAATAATAAAAGGCACTATAACAAATAGAGTGTTCTTTTTCAACACTGACACACACAGGCACAGCCAAAAGGAATCCAAACCATTACTGGTAATCAATGATGCAGAAAACCAAGTCTAGTGTTGGCTGGCTAGATCCATTATAGCTTCACCTGGTCCGTCTGTGGATATTTTAGAATGGCTCTTAATAATATGCTTTTACATATCATATTTTTTAAAGTTCAACTACAGCAGTTATTTAACAATCAGTTATGGTACAAAGTAAATATATTGCATTTCAAACCAAAAAATAATAATGATATTACAATGCAAATGAATCAAAACCATCTTCTGTTGCCAATTGCTTGGCGAGGGTACGAAGAAAACGAGTGAGGGACTTCTCGGCTCTCTTTACCGCTGCTGCTATTTTTGCCTTGTCTTCTTCAGTCGAATTGCAGCTTTGTTCTTGACTTGTCTGCACTTTTCGAACAAGTTTACGCAATTCCTGTCAAAGCAACACTACTCGATGAAATAATCCATTCCGCGATATATCAGGCAACTTTTTTTGAGAAACAGACGAGCAGTAGATTGGACACTGCACTCGCCTGTTGCCAGGCTCAAAAGAAAGGCTCTTAATTCAATTATTCGAAGGACAGTTGAGAATTCCCTATATGTACAGTAATTGGCTCAAAACCGACAACAAGTGAGTAGTACTTGGCTATATTGAGGCTGCGGTATAATTATGGTTTGCAGGACTAAGGAGCACTGCAAATGATTCAATCAAATCTTTCCAATTAGGGGTTTAGATTCCTCTACGTATAAATTGGGATGCTCTAAGTTGTGTATGTAGAGGACTCTGAACCACTAGTAGCAATTTAATAGCTTCTTAGATAAATAAAATCTGTTACTTATCCAAAAGGGAGAGGAAAAAAGACATAACTTGATGAATGGACATAAAAGCAAAACAAAAAATGAGCAACAACTCCAGTTCTATGCGATGCAACGGTTGAACAGAGAAATATAAGTTGTTCATGCAGGGCAGTCGTTCAAGTAATTTAAAGGCAGAGAATTTAGACGAATTTGCAAGCCTAACTAGCCCCAAGCCTCTAACGGTACATACTGATCAAAACAGTCTTGTCTAAGAGAGATTTGGCAACAAATGAGCAACATTTAACTTGGTTTGCTTACCTGACGATCAAAATCTACGCTGCTAACTGAAAACACTTCATTTGTAATTTCAATGTCCTTGCTGATCAACCCCTCAAACCATCTATTTGCAATATTGACAAACTCCTGTGACTGCCACACGCAAAAGAACTAGATAAGACAAAGGTATATCGAGTGTAATCGGCTTAAGCTTATTATAAGTCTTAAAATCAAACTTAAATTACAGTATATTCGGATGGATCATCATCATCATCTTCTTCAGTGATTTGTGTCTTTGAAGCAGCTAAAGCCTGCAATGTTTTCTGGCCACCTACTTTTGTAGCTTGAATCAAAGCTTCCATCAATTCGGGTTATGCTTCTCGAAGCAGTTTCCCTAACACAAAACGTAAGTACAAAGCTGCGTATAAGTTAAAAGGAATGCAAATCAATTGACGTAGAATAAATTTCTCTTACCAATATAACTGAATTGCCTTCGGTTTCCCTCTCTAACATCAGGGCCGAGTCTCTGCAACAAAAATACAAACACCCTGTGTTCATTAACATACTTTGCAACGAAACATACAAAGCGTCTGAAATTACAAGAAATTACAATGTCCTAAGTACCTTAACTAGTATTAAAGCATCGAAAACATCTTGTTCGAGAGAAGCCACTCTAAAAGAATAAAAGATGTTAGCTTTCGGTATATACCATTTCAAAAGCTCAAACAAATATATGTTTTTTTGGATTGAATTGTACCTGAGGATACGTTTGATTTGAGGGTTGGAGAAGGAAGCGATGTCCATGCCCCAACGGACGGCGCGACGAGCCTCGCGCTTCTTCTGGTTGCGGCTCTTCTTTACATCGGATAGGAAGTTGAAGTGGCGAAATATAAACAATGGGAAGGGGGTTTAGTCGACACTGATAGTATCCGAGAGGAGCAGTGGTACTGCCACTGCTGCTGCAGCTTCAATGGAGGCCATTGCCTTAGAGACCGTATAAGCCGTTCCATGCGCTGTTCGACCAACGCACGCTCAGCTCCGGTGATAGTTGCCAGGCGGCCCGATGGAAGACAACGTTTACATGGTAAAAGCATTAAAGTTCTGACACGCATCCTTCTATTATCATTTCGTACATATAATTCCCTGTTGGCCCAAACTTGAGAATGGGTGTTTATTTTACTGGACGATATTTACAGTTGGGCTTGGGTATGAAGCTAAAAGTTGCATTCTGATCTGTCTCACAGATTGAATCGTTCTTTTCTTCTTTGTTTATCAGAAACTTAACTCCAGATGATTAAAGCTCATGTCTCTGGTTAGATCTTTTTTAATACGTTTGATTCTGATATCCCATTACCGGTCTGAATTGTTTGATTTCGAGAATCTATGAAATTTAGGGTTATAAATCAATTACAATATGGATCTTATTGGGGTTTTGAAGAATGAGAAACAGAAGACTAAAGTCATGTCACAAAAATCCAACCTATATAAACTCAGGCTATTAATAAAAAAGCAGCCTGTTTTAGTTCCTATATATATTTAGTATTTACAAGCAAAATTAGTAATTCCCAAAAGCCAAAATGCCCAAGAGAATGAAAAATTAGCTAAAGCCCATCTCTGAATTTCAAAGCACATCCAAAATATCACCAACATTGATCAGTTTCCCATGTTCGCTTCGTATAACCAGAAAATCGAGAAGACGCTGAACCGGTCATCGCTTCGACAGAAAGAGAAAAAGACTGCCTTGACCTGAGCAACAACGTTCGGTCATAATCGGCCCGTTTCTCAGGATCCGACAGCGTAGAGTAAGCTTCGTGTACTTTGATGAACTCGTTGGCGGCGAAGGCTTTTCGACCATTAGCCGAGACATCAGGGTGTACAGCTCGCGCCAGTCTCCGGTAAGCAGCCTTGATTTCGTCACACGTGGCGCCCATCGGAATCCCTAATACCTCGTACAGCGATGACGGACAAGCAATGCGGGAAACCGGTCTCTCGGCCGTCGACGAACACGCGGCTGAGATGCGTAGTTGTCGGAGATGGACACGTGTAGGCATGAAGCCCTGTTCCTCAATGGAAACTTTGGAGCCCATAAAATGAGCAGAGGAAGAGGTGAAGGAGGCCATTGTAGCAGATGTGGAAGCCATTCTCGTTGACTGTTCGTTTGTTTGGTATTTGTTGTTTGGTTCGAGACTTCTTGAGGAAAGTAGGGGATTGATCAAGGGGTATTTATAGAGCTGAGTCAACCCAGGTTAGATCGGTTGGGTTAACAAAGTTACTACTAGATATTAGTTTATCCGTAATATCAAACGCTGACTCAGAAAATCATCGGCGTTTCAGAATCTTTTAATACGCGACCAGCAGTTGTCAAGCTGGCAGTAACTCACTCATCCTTCTGGAACTTCGTGTATAAAATATTCCTCTTAATTTATATTTATTATTTTTTTGATAAAATTATTAAAATTAAATATTATTTCATGATCATATATGCCGTAAATTATTTGATATAACGAATCCTGGAATGGTATGATTGAATTAATTAAACAAATAACTAAGTGGGCTAACAGCCTTTTCCATTTGCCAGTTAGTGGGGATTGGTGATTGATATTCGATTTCCTTACATCAGCATGATCTTGGAATGGTATAAGATATTAAGATTACCTCAAACTTTAAAAATTAATGTTTGACCAAAGAAGATATATTAGGGAAAAAGTTTGAGTGCTTCGGATTTGTCCGAAAGAGATCTTTGTCGATGTTTACTAGAACAAGAACACCGACATCGTCTAAGCTTAAAAACAATTCATTTTTTCCTGAAAAACAAATACGATTAATTTACGTCATCCACGTCATATAAATGTAAAGATTCTTTTCCTTGTATCTACTTAACAATTTTCAAGTCTAGTTATAGACTTTACAATAATAGAATATAGTTCAAATATTGCATATTTTATTCGTAAAAAGTACATGACGTAAGAACTAAATAATGCAAAATAAATAAATTAGCATCGACAACTACGACATAACTAAACGAATAAGAAGAAATTATTACCGTGTTATGGTTAGTGGTGAATCCAGAATTTTTTCGACGTGGACACAAATGCATTAGTAATAGAAAATTTTTATATGGGTTAGCACAAATAAAATTCCAGAACGGGCATCATGACTAAAATCAAGAACTAACATAAATAAATTTGGATTTCAACCTGACTTACACATAGATCTGCCACTGGTCATGGTAGTCCATTGCCTTAGAAGCGAATTCGCCCCAACCGATGTAATTGCAAAAATTGACGATCGCCCCCAAGGTTAATACAGTACTCTCTGTTTCGTACACCCTGAAGACACCAGATTTTGTCTTTTTGATATTATATAATATACTTATATTATATTATATATTTTCTTTTATTACATATGTCGTATTTACATATATATATTTGTTTTGCAGTCTGTCGGGCCCAAAACCAAGATCACATATGGTCCGGTAAATACAAGAGGGTCCAACAGAAGGCCTGGTTGGTGATCATCAGCTTCCATGTCGAACCCTAGCGTCGCATCCCTTGTTTCCAGCCATGCAAAGACCCCATGCCTCACGAGTCTTCACTGTTCACGCCTATCCCCGTACTTCCCGGCAACAAACCACCTTCGTGGATATGTGGGACTCCAACCCCGGAACGTACGGTGTAAGGATCTCGGTATCAACACCAATAACTAATAAATAGGGTTAGAATAGGACTCTATAACCACATCTAAAAATAGGATTTTTTACTCCTATAAATATCAGTAATCAAACCCACTTGAGGGGGAAATACGAGAGAGAAATTAGAAACATTTCAGGGGTCTCTAACAGAGTGAAAATAATCAGAGAGGATTCGGAAAAATAAGTTGGGAGGAACAAGAGAAAAGCCACACACAAAAATCGGGAAAGATACGAAAAGGAAAAAAGAAGAAAATAAAAAACGAAACTTTAAAAGAATTCCGACCTTTCTCCTTCAGATGTGTTTGCTACAACCCCCACCATGAGAAAATTGCATCTTATATGGGTGACCGCACGAACGCACATAAAAATATACAAATACCCAGCTTAGAGTGATGTGGTTGAAATCGAGACATGGTGCCAAAGTGGGGGAAGCATCAGAACCAGAAGAGATTGGATCCTAAAGGATGCTTTAACTGGTGAAATTATTGGAAGAGCTACGGGCAAGGGGGAACCATGACACAAAACAGCAATGTTTTAAGAAGGGGTTTACGCATGGTATTTGTAAAAAGGGATATTCGTGCATATAGCCCTTTCAATTTGTATGGTTCCTTATTTAGATCATAAAATCATTCTTCTTTTATTTTAAGCATCTGATTTATATTTTTTCGTTTTGGTCCTGTGTCTCTTCTAGTTCATGTTTTGACTTTTCGAATCATGCAATATTGTTGATAATTTGCATTTTGGTCATTGAAGTTTAGTATTTTAATTTTGATTTATTATTTTATGCGTGTTTTATTTTGGTCACTAATGTAAATCATTTTTTTGTTTATCTTTTTCTAAATTTAACCCTTTTATTATTATTTTATTATTTTCTATCTTGTTTTTTTATTATTTTATTATTTTTATTATTTTATTTTATTTTTTTTACTTAATTTCACTTATCTTTATTTTTTATTATTGTCATTTTAATATTTTTTATATTTTTTTATTTTTTTTATCTATTTTCATTTTCATTTTTTTCTTTTGATTTATTTTACTTTATTTTATTTATTTATTTATTTATTATTTTTTATCTAACATTTTTACCTTTTTAGAGAAAATCCAACCAATCAAAGGTAAGCAATTCAAATCGAATTTTTAAATTTAAATTTAAATTCTTAATTTTCGCAATTAAAGACAACCGACAAATTAACCGGTACCGAAAGGGCGGTTCAAGGGTGCTAATCCTTCTTTGACCGTAACCGACTCTCGAACCCGACACGTTTCTGGTAAAACGCAGATCAGGTAAGATGGTGTCCGATCCACCTAAATTTATTTTAAAGTGGTCGGTGACGACTCCAATCCATTTAATCCAAGTCGAAGCCCAATTCCGGGCCCAACCGAAATACGGTTCCGACACACCCGAAATAGGAAGTTGAAATTAAATTGATTGCTCTTTTCTTAAAGACTGGATAATACAGAAAAAAGGTTAGAATATTATCGATTTCAATCGACTAACAAAAGTTTCAAAAATAATAAAAGAAACTTGAAAGCTTAAAAGCTTTATAAACGCAACGCAATCAATTAGAAGAGAAAAAAGTTGGTTATGAATTGAGTGAATAAGAATGAAAATAAGGGTCATTTATATAGGCTTCAAATAGGGGGTAATATAAGAATAAATGAGAAAAAAAATATCAACATTCTCTGTCCGAAATCTCGCCCATATCACTGTTGTTTCTATAACAAAGTACAATTAATTTTGAAAAAGTAAATGTTAGTTGTTTAATATATTTGCATTATTCATAATCCCCACAAATACAAATAAGTATAGTTTGTCTTAAAAAAAGTTTAAAAATAAGAAAAGAGTAATGCAAAATTATCAATTTAAGTATTAGTGTACGCATCTAGAATTAATACATAGTGAAACAAGCAATTCATCTCTTTAACAAATAAATGGACCTAGAACTTGTTAAAATAAGAGTAAACTCGTAGCACGTGACTAATTTTTTTTGCCTTATGGGTTTTGCAATAAATCAATAATATAACCAGTATACCTCGGATGTTGGTAAGTGCCTGGAAAAATGGTCTTAATATTTTCTATAGAAGGTGGATATTCCTTCACACTCATGTAGATGATTTCATCAAGTCTATCTTAATATAGACCATCTAAATCAGAGATATGAAATCATTAAAAGCATTTAGTACAACCCATAATTAATGTTCATAAATTCATCGAGGCCGCCTCACAAGTACCATCCAAGTCATGGGCTATGAACCCATTAAGAATATAAAACTCCTCATTTTACGTTGGTAGATTCATTAAGTGTTTCTCATTAGTATAACCCAAAACCTAGACTATGAATCCATTAAGAGTTCGAACATCCAACCTCAATTATACAAATATTAATGATGGATTATAGATTTTTCATCCCCCAGGTGTTTCAACATGCCGCAAAGTATCTGGTGCCATCGGTTGATTTGAGCATAAGAATCTGCAAGTCTTTTCATGCCGTTGAATCATAACATTGATTTGTGAAAAAAGTTGATGAATTTTCTTTCTTTCTTTTTTCGAGTTTTTTTTTGTATCTGATAAATATACATGTATAGATTATATTTAGAATTGAATTGAATTTATTTCTGGATGAGACAAAATTTTCATATTTTTTTTTCGTATGTTGAACTTCAATTTAATATTATCCGAAAAACATCGAGTTTTTTATAGTCTAAAGATGAGGTTATTGAATGATTTATTGATTGTTTGGTCGAAATCTTTAATAATGAAATGTATATTTTTTTTACGGAATTTATAGATAATTTTAACCGAAGATTTTGGTATCCCTACTTTATAAAAATGTAAAAGAATACTTATCGTAATTAATCTAATATGTCAAAATATTGTATAGTTTATCTTAATTGATTTAGACGAAGAGTCGAAATGATGTAATTAAAGGGTACATAGACTTATAGAATTAAATTATAAAGAGAATTTGGAGAGACCAAGGTGTCAAATTGGTGGGAAATCTAAACAATCAAAAGATCCTCAGGTTGAACAAAATCTTAAATTAAAACGATATTATAAAATATTTTCGTTAACATAATACCATTCTGTTATTAAAATTTTAATCCAACAATAAGAAAATTCCAGGAAAAAAACTCTCCTTGTAGTTTATAAAGGTGTTTTTGGTGGTCTCCCAAGCTAAGACAAAGCTAAAACGAAAAATACAGGGAAAAAACTCGTTATTCAATACTGCGATAGTCTTCCCATGGAAATAACCGGAGTTCCCCCGCCGTCATGGCAGCAGTCGACCACGCGCCGCCGTCAGCCACCATCTCCTATTTCTTTCACCCCATCAATTCTCATTCTCTTACCCATCACCGCATTGCTTGTCTCTCTCTCTGCCGTCCCTCATTTTCTCTCCACGGTAACTCATATTTTAAGACCCGTCGGAGCAAAGAAAAACTGGGATTCGCTAAACGTTGTTCTGGTCTCATTTGCGATTCTTTGCGGTGTTTTTGCTAGAAGAAACGACGA